CCGGAACCAGCTCTAAGAAATCCGCCAGGAACCAGGAGCCAAGCGTCCTGGAAAGAAGGAAAGAGCAGCCAAAAGAATGCTGGAGGAGTCCACCTCGCCGAGAGGAGAGCACAAAAAAGTGCGACTTGAACAGCAACCAAAGGCTGCAAGAACAAGCTACGCTTCTGCTGCTAAAGCAGATTTGGGTGTGGCCTTAACGCGTGCGCGTTCAGGTCACATAACAAAGGAGGTAGCTGATGACATCCTCGTGGCTATACAGAGGAAGATGATCAGCAAGGCCTGGAGTAACCAGGACCCTGATGCGTCGGCCCCGGTTTTTAGAGGCAAACCCGTTTACACGGAGGGTGTCCTAAAGCTGTGGTGCGATGACCAGAAGGCTCTGGACTGGTTGAAGGGGAATATTAATACCCTCAACCTCAAACCCAACACCTCGCTGACTATTAAGAAACAGTCAGAGATACCACAAAGAATCAAATGTGGTATCCTTATCCCAAGGTGCCTGGAAGGACTCACGCGACATTGGTCGTGTGCTTGCGTACCAGAACCGCTGGGTAAACATCAGGGACTGGCTACTACTCAAAGCGGACAAACAGAAGGACGGGTGGTTCCTCGTTGTTTCGGTGCCGGAGGATCATATCCCGACCCTGATGAAAGCGGGGCCGACTCGCATGTGTATGTGGGGCGGTATACGTTAAATTCCAGGGTCGGGGAGGAAAATTCGTCGATTTACCGACCTAGCAAAGAGGCAGAAAAGAACCCGGAAGTCATGGATATCGTGGCCATGGTTTCCGGTACATCGAAATCACTGGATGTCAAGTCCAGTGAAAAAAAGGCCTGCACAACCGAGCCGAAGCCCCCAGTGGAAACAGCTCAGCGGCAGCTCACTGAGCGACGAAGAGGACTGCATTTTGCCGTCCAATTCCGACTCGATGGCTGACGATGAGACCCGGGATCTGCTGGCAGGCTTATTTTTAGGCGGGGACGGGGATGACGCGATCGATGATGGCGTGCCCTTCGTCCAAAACTAGCCTAGTGCAGGCCAACCCCCACCACAGTGAGACAGCGTCGGCTCAATTACGCAAGTGGTTGGAGGCACAAAGGACGGCCATAGCTCTAATCCAAGAGCCATGTGTTGGGGCTGGTAAAATTAAAGGCCTAAACAACCTAAGAGGTAAGTTATTCTACAACTCTGAGCACGACAAGCCCAGAGCGTGTATTTATACTACTAAAGATATCTGTGCAAAACCATTAACAGATTTCTGTTCCAGAGACATGTATGCCGTAGCATTACAAAACACACAGGAGGAAAGGTTAGTCGTCGCCTCGGTCTACATGCCTGAGGAAGACACCCCTCCCCCCTCACGACCTCGTCAGGCTGGTGAATTTCTGTGAGAGGGCGGGACTAGAGGTTGTGATCGGGACGGACTCCAACGCGCATCAATCCCTTTGGGGAATGGAAAAACCTAATGAACGAGGTAAGGTTTTAGTTGAATATTTATTTAGCTCTAACCTAACCATTTTAAACACTGGTTCTGAACCAACCTTCATAAATAAACGCAATAATCGACCTCACACTTGCAACAGAAGGAGCAGCTAAACTAATAACGGAATGGCATGTGTCAAAAGAGGCCTCATGCTCAGACGACAGATGGATCTGCTGCGTACGTGCTACGTAGGTCGATATCCCCGCTATACCACCATGGAGAAATCCCCGCAAGATGGATAAAACAAAATACCTCAATAGGCTGACATCTTCGCTCGCGGGTGTTGGGGGAACTAATACCATAGCAGATTAATCGCTCCTAGAAGAACAGGTAGCAGCTGTCACTAAAGCCATGACCGATAGCTACCATGAATCATGTCCAGTAATCACTCCACCAAAACATGCTGAGCAAAAGCAACAGTGGTGGGGTAAAGAACAAGACAGGAAACCTAAGAAGGTAAGAAAAGCCCTAAATAGGGCAATGAATACCTCAAAGATGAAGACTGGCTTCTATATAAGAAAGCTAAGTCTGAATACAAAAAATGTATCAGGTATCGCTCAACAGGGTGGCGCAAATTCTGTGGTAGCATAGAAACCTGTGAACAAGCAAATCGGATAAGGAAAATCCTAGCTAGATAGAACACGCCGGGATCTATCTCTTTAAAGAAACCCGAAGGAAGCTACTCAACATCGCCGGATGAAACCCAACGCATCCTAATTGATACTCACTTCCCAGGTTGCTGTGTAGTTGAAAGGGTGAACCAGCATGAAGATGCACTGACACCAACAAAAGAAAACTAGGAATTAGCACAAAGAGTGGTGACGATGGACAAAATCCATTGCGCCATTCATAGTTTCCATCCCTATAAGGCAGCAGGACCTGACGGCTTATTCCCGGCGCTTCTACAGTGGGGGGGGTGGGGGGTAAAGTCCTAATAGTCAGACTTGTCGCCATAATGAGAGCATGTCTGGCTCTTAAATATGTTCCTAGGGGATGGAGGGAAGTGAGTCACGTTCATACCCAAACCAGGTAAGAACGACTATACAGCCCCTAAATCCTACAGACCCATTAGCCTCACATCCTTTTTCCTAAGACGATGGAGAGGATGTGTGAACGGGAATTGAAGAGGGTCAGCGCTAATTAACTTACCGCTACACGAGAAACAACACGCCTAGAGCTTAGGTAAATCAACAGAATCGGCACTTAACCAGGTAATAACAAAAATTGAAGAAGCCATCCAAAACAAAGCAATATGTCTAGGCTCCTTCATAGACATAGAAGGTGCTTTTGACAGAACAAATTTCTCCAGCATAAAAGGTGCCCTAAGTAGACATAATATTGAACCGGCACTGATTGACTGGATAGTAAACATGCTCAGTACACAAACAATAAAAATTTCTTGAATCTCAGACAATTCAGATCATGAAAGGATGCCCGCAGGGTGGGGTTCTTTCACCTCTCCTGTGGAATATGGTCATTATTGAACTCATCAGCATATTAAACGCTAACCATTTCTACACAGTCGGTTATGCAGATGATCTGACAATACTGATCGCTGGTAAGACAGCAAGCATTGTGTGTGACCTGACCCAAGTGGCTCTCCGTATTGTGGAGAGATGGTGCAGGGAATATGATCTAACTGTTAATCCAAATAAAACGGTTATAGTAATGTTCACACAAAAACGAATGCTGAATAACTATCATCTTCCAAGTCTTTTCAGCACAAAACTCCAGCTTTCCTCCGAGGTAAAATACCTAGGTCTTACCTTGGACAGTAAACTTAACTGGAACAAACACATAGAAAACAAAATAAGCAAAGCTTGTTTAACTTTCTTGCAATGCAGAAACACGATTGGCAAACGATGGGATTTAATGACAAAAATTATACTGTGGCTGTACAAAACTGTAATTCGGCCCATAATCACATACGACTCTCTGATATGGTGGACCAAAACCAATGAAGCCACCACTATACAAAAGCTTCAGCATTACCAGAGATTAGCTTATATGGCTGCCACGGGCTGCATAAGGACTACACCAACAGCAGCTTTGGAGGCTATGCTGGAGCTAACACCGCTTCATCTACATATACAACAAGAAGCAACTTTAGCTGCCATTAGACTCAAGACCCTAAATCTTTTAAGTAAGAGTAAGAGTCCCCGATACAGATATAATCGATAGAATTTACTCAAAAATTCCTATCTTACAATCCAAGTAAGATAGGATCCCAAAACAATTTGTATTCGATAAGAAGTACAGGATACAAATGAAGGAAAATGACCATCTGGAAGGATTGGGTCCAAGAGAGCTTAAAGTTTTCACGGATGGCGGCTCTAAGACAAATGAAGGTGTGGGGTCTGGGGCTTTCTCTGAAGACCTTAATATCCACATATGCACACCGCTGGGTACCCACAACACAGTCTTCCAGGCTGAATGCATGGGTATCATCCAAGCAGCCATAGCAATAGATGCTAGGAAGGTGAAAGACTTCTCCATCAGAATACTGACCGACAGTATGGCGGTACTACAAGCTCTGAGTTGCAATGTGGCGAACTCGGGACTGATATATGAGTGCCATCAACGATTGAATGAGGTATGTAAGCACAACAATGTAATGTATCATGGGACTGTAATGGATCAAGGGACACAATGGATCTAGAGGCAACGATGCAGCAGATGAACTGGCCAGAAGGGGATCGGCCCTGGCAACTATAGGGCCAGAACCAATAATACCAATCCCCTTTGGCTACGTTCGTTCGTAGATACTTCAATAATTTACACGTTCAGCTTTGGAAAAATTTAGTAGACTGTAGACAAGCTAGGGAGGCCCTGCCTGAAATAAACAGTCGTCTAACCATGATTCTAATGGGACTGAACAAGCCACAGATCGGGATAGTAACAAGTGCTATCACAGGACATGGCTCTTTTAACAAACATTTGTTCACCATAGGTGTTACTGATAGCCCCCTGTGCAGGACATGCATGGGAGAGGAAGAAACGGCGGCTCACGTGTTGCTGACATGTCCAGAAGTCGCTTCATACAGGGCTAAACATCTCGGCACGCCGGAGTCGCTCCCTGAAGTTGCTTGCAACATCAAGGGACTGCTGAGCTTCTTCAGGGAGATATCATGGCTCGAATAACTATAGTATTCCTGCCCACACGCAAAATATGCGCTAAGACGTGGAGTTGCGGAAAACAGCCCGTCGTAAACTAAACTAAACTAGGTATGAAGAAAACTCTCAGAATGCGTCGTAGTTCATAAATTAGCAAAAACGGACATAATTTTTGTGGTTTATGGGAATTTATTATCATTGATTCCAATGACAAGTTGGACTGTACCTATGGAACATACCGGAAAACACATCGCAAAAAATTTTTTTAGCAGTCTTCCTGTGGGTGTGAGTATAGATAATGATAGTGTGCAAGCGAGAGGTGAATAGAGGCGACGCCATTTTTAATTCCATTCTTTATCCGCACGTGTAGTAAAATATTTATTTTTTTAAGGCCATACCTACCAAGAGCTCTGATGTATGGGGAGTCAGTGTGCTGCAGCAGGCCGTTGACTTGCTTACGCGTCAAGCGTAGTGTGTACAACTTATAGAGCAGACAGAATGCCGTAGATACAATGCCACCAGCCCCAACACCTCTGACCTGTAAACAAAATTTTTAATGGTGCCTCCACACTAGCATTTTCTCCGGTATTGTGAGCGCAGTTTACATACATAAATTTCACAAGGACAAACATTCAGGAAATCGGAACAATTATTAGTTGTAGATTTTTTAAATAAGTATGTCCTTTACATATTGTGGTCACAAAAATTCTGCTAATGTCTGGCCTTCAGTTTATCACATCTTGTAATGAGGTTTCTCAGTGAGAAATAAGTAGGCGATTTTTAGACGGTATGGACCACATACTGAACAAACTTCCAGATACAGGAGAGGAAAAGCCTGAACAAGGATCAGAATATTACATTCCCACTAAAGTTAAGCCATTCGCTGTCCCGTGCATTACATATTATTCATTGCTATTGTATTACTATATTGTTTGTTAAAATCGGACAGAGAAAGTGTTAATAACTGATAATTACAATATAATAGTAAATGTTTGTATACTTATATTTTGAGATAATATTAACATACATGGCATAACGGATATTTAAAATGGTATCAACATTAACCTGAGGAATTAGTTAAAAAAGTTTGTAATAACAAAGATATTGGATTTATTGGATCAATAAAAAATACACAATTTTATGGTGCCTGCTTAGTTTAGTTCAGTTAGTTAGTTCATTACTTAATTATTTCACAATTAAACTTCTTATCAACAACATGCATGTCTAACTTATTTAAACAAACTAACTTTAGTGCACTCAACAAATAATATATCCTTGAAAGAAAGAAAAAATATTTATTTTGACACACACAAGGCACCAAACAAAGTCAAAACAAAAAAACAATTTCAAGAATGTACAAACAGCCAACAGAATTAACAAAAAAATATACAAACTTTGTTCAACGCCTTGCAAAAAAGTTATGAACGATTATATTTGATGAAGTGTATTTATGATTACATTTAAAGTCATAAAACTATGAATGAAATCTTAAGGTGAGATATTTTCCATAAATCTCCCATAAAGACGAAGATTTTTAAAAAAAAATCATCGAAATCGGATGATATTTCGATTTTCTACAGCCAAAAAAGGAGGTGACCGCGATAGTATAAAATTACTCTGGTTTATAGTTCCTGACACGTCGCGATTGAACTGACGACGTAACTTTGTAATGGCGTTGTAGTTACGATAAAAATATTTTTGCTGGTTGTTTACCATTTTAAAGATTGATGAGCATTAAAAAATTATTATATCAATAATCAACGAATGTTATTATAATTTTGTGCCAAACTGAGTGTCAAATAACTTGGTAAACAATATTTTTCTAAATCTATACTGCGCTATTACAAGGTTATGTCAGCGCTTTATATTTGTAGTGCTGTGCTAACAATAACAGGCAATAACAGTATCGTAATCTGTTCTTATACAGTTATACTTTATAAAATAATACGTTTTATTTTTCTTTTTAAAATTTTGAAAATAATGGACTATAAGATAACTTTTGTTAAATATAAAAATAAAACTACGACCAAACCGAACGCGCGAAAGAAAGTAGCATTTTTATATTTAGGTTGAAAATGGTAACCCCAAATGGCGTTATGGGCCGCCATTTTGTGACGCTAAAACAGTCGTCTGTTGTCGTTTCGTGCGCATAGACCACGTTCTTCAAGTGTTTTCGATCTGTTTTTATTTGATTACCCGGCTTTCGTTTAATGGACTCTTTCTGCTTTTCAAACTGACATCGGCGCTAAATCGGATTTCGATTGTGTTTTGTATTACGTTCTTTTTACTTTTGGTGCATAATAATGCCTAAACGTGGACAAACATTGAAAAGTAGAGCCCGTGAGTTAATCATCAAGCTGCAAGATTACTTTGAGCGGGAGTGGCAAAATAGCGAACCCCTGTTACCTGTCGAACAAGTACAAGAACGCGTCTCTCAGGCGCTTGGACTTAGCAAACGAACGATAACAAATATTAATAAAGAAAAGTTCGGCTCTACTGGCACGGAAGATAATATTTTACGTACTCCGAAGAAGAAACATAGAACGAAACTCGTGACAGATATTGACACCTTTGACGCCAATGCAATCAGAAAACATATATATGGTTACTATTCCAGAAATTAATCTCAACAGGAAGAAGCTTTTGGCATCATTAAGAGAAGCTGGACTGTTTAGTGGGGGTAAAACTGCTTCAACAAAAATCTTAAAAGATATTGGTTTTTCGTATAAAAAAAACAGACAAAAGAAAAATTTTATTAGAACGATATGACATAATTTTAAAACAGATAAGTTTTTTGAGAGAAGCAAAAAATATTGATAACTGGGATAATGTCGTGTTCATTGACGAGACATGGCTAAATGCCAATCACACGGTTTCCCGTTCTTGGACGGATGATACACAAGCGTCGACGTAAGGGGACCCGTCTGATAATATGCCACGCAGGTTCTGAAAAATACGGCTTTGTGGAGAACGCATTACTGGCATTGCAATCAAAAACCACAAATGACTACCACGAGGAAATGAACGCCACTACATTTAAAGAGTGGCTCCAGAACATGCTTTTGCCCAGCCTACCAGAACTTTTTGTAATATTCATGGATAATGCCACCGATCACTCGGTTCAAATACAGAAACCACCTACCCAAGCTAATAAAAAAAGAAATGGTGGCTTGGTTACAAGCAAAAGGCATTGACGCACATATGCAGATGCTAAAACCAGAGCTAATTAAATTAGTTAAAGAAAATAAAGCGGCAAATGTGTGATACGAAATCGATGAACTGGGTCTGGAGTACGGTCATCGCGTTCTAAGAATTCCACTGTATCATGGCCAATATAATGCGATTGAGCTTATCTGGGCTCAAATAAAAGGTTACGCTGCCCGCCACAATACTTCACCACCATTCAGCACGAAAAAGATGATGACCCTATTAAAAGAAGCCTGCGGGGAAGTCACAAGAGATGACTGGGCAAAGGTTGTTGAGAAGACTAAAAACCTGATTGTGGAACATTTTGACCGAGATATCAGGATTGATTCTGTTATTGATAATAATATAATTATACATGTAGGCAAAGATGATGATGAAGACACCACCTCCTCAAGCGAATCGGAGTCTGATTAATATTCTGTGCGCACATTCGATTCAATGTACTTTATTGCATAGAAATACAGATTGTAACTTTGCAACAAAGAATAAATAAAACAATTTCATTATATTAATATTACCTTTTTTTGGTTTCCACTTAAATTACTAAAATATAAATTTTAAATGATTCCGCCAATTTAAAACGAAAATAATCCTAAAAATAATGTGGCAGTTCATTTTGAAGGAACGGTAACAAACTCAGTGTTATGTTGTTCCCATCACTAGTCGTGACTAACTGATAGGTGTCAGGAATGCATTCTCTGAACGGCCGAACTACAAAATATGAAATTTTCAAAAAAATGCATAAAAATTAGCAGGGATAAGGTCACCACAGGATACTAAAGCCAACTTGTTTGAATTAAATTAACACAATAAAACTGGATTTAGATTCTTGTATATAAAGTAGACTATAAACTTTGTACCTAGTAGCTATTAAGAATAGTAAATAACATTTTATAATGATAACACTTATATACATACATATATATTTCTTTAATAACATACTCACGCCGCCACACATGCCCGTCTGGCCTGCAGTCTTGCGGCTACCGCGCTCCCACGGCTCTAGATGTTTCACTTGATAGTAGATCTCGTCTACTACCTCATGATATGTCTTCAACTTGAATAGGTGCACTGAGGACAATTTTAGAAATTAATAAATGTTAACAAAGTTATTTCTCTAAAAGGGTATTAACGAGGGTAAAGTAAAATAGTACGTATAATGCGGATCCAAACTCCTGTATGTTGTTATGTTTGCTTACCTACCTTTGAAGTAGCTAGAACCTTGAATGTTTGCTAATATTAAAGGATTCAGATTCATTGTCTGCTCATTACCCCAAATTGGTAATATGTTATGCTGTTTGGTTGTTTTCACGGGTTTTTGTTGATTAAACTCTGGAAAGCAAAAGGTTTCAGTAAAATGGAACACTATCCAAGAAGGAAAACTTGATATAAAACATACCTTCAGATTCAGCCATAGTAATATCAATTAATAATACTTAACAGATTGTGAAACAAGGTTCTATAAGCACCGTTAGAATATTTTGCCTCCAAATAAAACAACGCCAGTAATTACAGTTTATTGCATGCACAAAATACTTCAATTTGACATGACAAAAATTTTCTTTTATTTTATTGGCTTGGATGCTTGTCCTTTAAGAAGCATTGCTCCACAACTTACTACCAAAGATATTATAATATACTTCATATAGAACCTTACTACACCTCATTACCACAGAACACTATTACTCTTATCGCATCTACCTATTACATATATAACACATTAATATACGGGGTTATTTTTCAGAGTAGCCAAATTTTAAACATAAGTTCAAATATATAAATGATGATAAACCGTTATTGCAGTTTTTGAAAATATGAGTAAGGCTTTTTAAATTTATTTCAAATTTTCCTAAACGGAATGTGATTTATGGGCAAAAACGTTCGGGAAATTGGAACACATCTCGTCAGCTTTGAAACCTAAAACGGAGAAACCAAACCTGAAAACGAGACTGTACAACCAGTGCGTGATGACTTATGGAACTGAGACGTCGTCCTTCACTGCTGGCCATATGAGGACACTCAAGGTCGCTTAGCGAGCTGTGGAAAGGGCTATGCTCGGGGTTTCTTTGCATGGTAAACTTAGAAATTAGGATATCCGCAGCAGAACAAGAGTAACCGACATAGCCTAACGGATAAATAAGCTGAAGTGGTAATGGGTCGGCCATATAGCTCGAAGAACCGACAACCAATGGGGTAAAAAGGTTCTCGAGTGGCAGTCCCGTACCGGTAGGCGACGTGTAGAGTGACCCCCCACTACATGGAGTGACGACCTGGTAGGACATGCAGGAAGTCAATGGATGCAGGTGGCTCAGGACCGTGCTTTGTGGCATTCTTTGATGGTGGCCTATGTTCAGTACTGGACTTGTGAAGGGTTGTAAAGATGATGATAATGATGAATATCAAACCCGTAGTCGATATAGCCATAATGTCTTTGGCTGCTAGCCTGGTATTTTATCAACTGCTTAATTTTTATTTTATCCATGACCAAGGTACAATAATTTTTTATCAGTGTTACTCTCCGCTCTCAATTTGAATGCTGTCAGGCTGTAATGATGATGATGATGAACATTTTTCTCTTTCAATTGACCCTTACGAATGTCTGTGTGCGCAGTAAAATCAGTTAAAATAATAAATTACTACGCATTTTGAATGTAAAACACAAATAGGACAGAAAGTTTGAGATTTTTTTATTAATTTTTCTTCACTATTTGCGTATATTACTTATTCTGAACTTTCTTTTATGCAAATTTGGACAATTATTGCGAAATAACTCCATAGATAAATAAATATGTAGCAAGCAATAACTCTGTAAACTAAAGGCAATAAAAATAAAAGAAGATAGTGCACTATAGTCTTTGCGTTATAGCATGGTGCGGGTGACAGCTTACAGTTAGGCGTGTCTAGAGATGGAACCAGGAACAATGTTAAATCGATTTTGAAAGGGCGATTAACGATACACAAAGCAAAACAAAAATTATCGATTTGCTATCAACATAAAACATATTTATTTATAAACTACAATGTATTTAAAATTAAGTTAAAGTTTAATACAAATTATGAAATTGTAGTTACTTATTAGCTGTGCCCGCGACCTCGCTCGTGTGTTGTTTATTACGATTGGATTTTATAGGAATCATTTCTTTTTGCGTGGAATCCTAATTCATTTTCTAAAATAAAAGAAGCCTGTGTTACTTCTTATAACATCAGCTATCTGCTAGCATCAACTATAAGCTAGAACAAACAGACAGACAGACAATTTATTTTAGATATTGTGCTTGTCTTTTGTTTTAAATACAGTATAAATTTTCATATGCATTTAGTAAAAGGCTGGTATTTAGAAATTACAAACAGACACTTCAATGTATAACTATAGATATGAATTAATTTGAAAATAAAAATCATCTTACATTTCATGTTAATTGCACCATTCATATTAACATTTAAACAAATAAAATGGCTGCCAGCACGAACTGGACAGACCATGCGCGTTGATTCTTAAACAAAAAGTCTGTCAATTTCAGGGAGGCGCAAGAAAAACACACTACTGTATACTTCACTACAAATGCAAAATTGAATCGCGTCACTACACACGCACACTACAGCATTTGTGTTTGTGTCACAGCCTCCTTTACTCTACAAGTGAGAGCAATATAGAAGGCTGTGGTTTGTGTTCATTGCATTTACGCATACTATCAAATTGTACACGTGTCGATACACTGGTGCCTAAGCAACTGCCTGGTGCCTGGTAACTAAGCAACTTAAGGCGACGAATATGTCGAAATTATTTATCGATTAACGTATAATCATAGTCCGCATAAGTTCAGCGTTGATAAAAGTGATTTTTAATATTTTTTCATTAATTACCTTGTGGCGGCGCTGTTTTCTCGCCACAAGCGAAACACACCGAAGCCTAAATCATGCCTTCAATATTCCGAATCATAAACAGTATATATAGAACATCTCCGAACTATCACATGGAGTGTTGGCCGCCCCCCGGGCAGAACACCTTGACCGGCGGGAGATCTCCCCTTTTCCTTCCACGGCCACAACCTACTGCCCTTCACAAGTCCGCTGCTGAACATAGGCCTCCCCCAAGTGGTGCCACAAAGCACGGTTCTGATCCACCTGCATTCATCGACTTTCTGCACGTCTTACCAGGTCGTCGCTCCATCTATTGGGGGGTCGCCGTGCACTTCATCCACCGGTACGAGGCTGCCACTCGAAAGCCTTTTCCCCACATCGGTTGTCGATTCTTCGATCTATAACTTACTTACTTATACTTTATTTAACAGTTAGCACCTTTTGCAAATAATTTGGCAGTGGTTCTCACACTAGGCACTTAGACCTGTATCGTGAGAGCCATATACATATATTAACAAAAACAGAAATTTGTGCACGGCTGACTTTACAAAGCTTTCCCTTTAAATATCTACTCCAATTTATTTATGGTCTATAAATATAAACATATACTTAAACATATATACACACATTAAATATATTATATATACATCCATATATACTCAAACATACATACATACATCCATATACTCATACATCCTATATATAGTTATATATATATATAATAGTGGTGTGTGTGTGTACATGTATATATATAAACATACATATACAATATTACAGTATTTTGAATTTGCAATTATTGCTATAATAACAGTATCAATATGAATATCAATATTGGGCACGTAGCTATTAAGACAATGTTTGAAACAGCTTTTCTGTTTGTTCATAACTAAGCGTAAGCAACCAATTTCGTATTTTTATTCTAGCTGTGTTCGTCGAGCAATCTTTTATGTCGCATGCCTTTATAACTTTATTATAAATTAGTGTTTCAATGAATGGACTAAATTGTTTTGCGAAAGCTGTGCGAACGCTTGGTAATGGCATTTGAAACACACGTTTTTTCATCAGCTCACTGTGTTTATGTGAGCTTAATATTTTTCTATGAACACATGTAGCCACACATAAGACAAATAGCTGCCGAACTGTAAGTACTTTAATATCTCTGTACGGTTTAACTGTTGGATACCTGTATATCTTGTTAAGCATAACTTTCAGAACCGAACGTCGAGCTCTGTCAATTCTTATCATGACTGTTTTGGAAGCGCCAGTAATAAATACAATACGTAAGCAGAGACTGACATAGGGCATAATAGATGGACATTAATGTGCTCAGGGGTGCAGAGTTTCTCAGCCGTCTCATGATGTAAACTATGTTACGAATTCTTGCTGCCAATGCCGATATATGCGCCTAGAAGTTAAGGTTGTGATCAATTAATATACCCAGGTATTTAATGGATCCACTCTCCGAATTTTTTCACAACTACACAATTTATTTTCAGTCATGCAAATATGCAATCTTATGTGTTTGTCAGTAGGTGGTGTTGACGAACGGGTCTTATGAAAGCAAATATAATTAGTTTTCTCGACATTAAGAGTTAACAGGTTTGAGTTTAACCAATGAGGAACCTGAGAAACACCACGTTCCGCCACAGAAATGGTATCATCCCATCTTTTTCCACAGTATAGAAGGACCGTATCATCAGCATATCATATTATTTCTGAATGTTTTGAGTTGAATGATGTATGACGTTCATGTATATGATGAAGAGAGTAGGACCGAGAATACTTCCCTGAGGTTACCATAGTTAACATGCTGCATTTCACTTATATAAGTGCTCACTCTCACGCATTGTTTCCGTTTCTGCAAATAGCTTTTAAACCAATCTAAAACTAATCCTCTGATTCCTACGTTTTCAAGCTTTTGACATAGTAAAGGAACAGAAACAGTATCGAAAGCCTTGGCAAGTCCAGGAATACGCCAATACTCCATCAATTCCTGGCGCTTTGTCATTTTTAAGATTCGTTACTAGGTTTTCTATTTCGTAAGCGTCCGTTGCTTGCATATAAAACGAGTGTGTTGTATTTCTAATTTTACTATTTTGCACCAGACTTTCTTCAGTATTGTTACTTTCAATTAGAAATTCGTGTGCTAAATTTTGTCCAACTGTGGAAAAATAAGTATTACAAATATCTAATGTTTCTTTTTTGCTTATAGATCCCTGAATATTTAATAGCTCAGTTGGTTCTTTGTTTGATGTAGTAATGTTGCATATATCCTTTATTGTTTTCCATAATTTCTTTGGCTGTCCCTGGCTTTCTTGCAATTGACACTTCTCATATTCCCTTTTTAACTTAAATAGAAGTTCATTACAGAAATTGCGGTATCTCTTATATGTGAGGAGTAAGTTTCATCATTTGGATTCTTCCTTGAATTCTTCCTTCCTTCCTATGGCCGGTCCATTGCCACTTCAACTTACTAATTCGTTGGGCTATGTCAGTGTCTCTGGTTCTACTGTGAATATCTTTATATCTATGTTTATCATGCAGAAAACCCCGA